GTCTGTGAGGAAACTAAAGGAGAGGTGACAAAGTCCCACTTTAAAATAAGATTACCCTTTGAAAGGGCTTTAACGTAATTAGATCATAATTAAAACACAAACAATTTATTAATAAACTCTTGGATAAGACTTGGATACTGCAGAATCCATGGATTTAAGATCAAGTACAATATTTTTACAGGTGATTAATTTATGTTATTTGTGTCACATGACCTTTCCTCATATATTAGTGTTCTGAACAAATATGTGATGTTAAAATTTTTGCAAATATTACAAAAACTAGTCTTCTTGTACGTCACATATTGCAAATTAATTCATGGTAGTATGACAGAAGGAGAGATCATCAAATCTGGACAGTTTGTGATAATAATAATAATAATAATATCAATAATAATTTTAAGGTTCTCAACTAAAATAGCCTCAAGTAAATGATCTGCTTCAAATAAAATTAAAATCAACAACAGCAATATGTAAAATGTGTCAACAAGTACGAAAAAATAATAAAATATACATAAGATTTTAGGCTAATCCTGCGGTATTCCCTTGAAAGTGTTTATCCATGGCTTATAGTTGGCAGTTTTGTTAAAGAAAATATTTAAATTTGTGACATCATCAATGAAAATGATAATCTTATCAAAGATTAAATTAAAAGGGTTTTGTGAAACCTACATAATAAGAGATTTAGATGGGTTGTTGTTTTTTTTTTAAGAGCGATTTTGAAGTAAGCGCAGTGAAAAGCATGTTATTTTAATTTCTCAGACAAATCCATGGATTTAAACAGATCCAGAACTGATAATGATACTTGCAGCTTGAAGCACGGAGCCACACAGTCACACAAGTTAGGATATATTAAAAAAAACTAAATTACTTAACGTATATTTCAAAACCTGCTGAGATTTATTACAACCTGTGGCAAAAGTCTTGCATTTGACGGAGGCTTTTTCATAATGTGCCAGCTGTAGCAACAAGGTCCTTTAGTCACTTTACTGCTCGTAAAAACGGTCTCACCAAATATGCCCAAACATTTGGCTTATGATGTTCATAAGCCCCACAGGACACAGAGGGCTTATCAGTTCATTAGCCACTTGATGGCCTATTTCAAGTTATAGTTGGAGGGAGGAGGGCGATGGATGAGGACATAACCGTCCATTACTGGAGCATATTTTGTTAAGCTATTCAGAGACGGAGAGAGAGAAAAAAAAAAATCAAACCCATAAGAAGATTAACAGACCTCAGCATATGTTTAAAAAAAATATTATGGGTTGAGTTAATACCTAGTTAGTGAAAGCTCAGCTAGATATACAGTCCATTTAAAGGAAGTTCAGTTCAGTGTATAGAAGTAAAAAAAAAAAACCCTCAATTTTTGACTATTAGAATTATTCTTTAACATTAATTTAAATCTGCAGGTTAAATGTTTGCCCTGCAACGTTTAAAACTCTCATTATGAGACAAATTTTCCTATAGGATTATGCATCGGCCTATGTTCCACACCCTGCAGCACGGTTAAAGTGCTGGAATATTTAATCACCTCTAAGTGATGACTAATGGTCTTTAATGCAGCTAGAGTTCAGCAGGTCGCACATACAGTTGGACGGATGAATACATTAAAGTATGGAAAGCTTGTTTCTGTTGAGCCTCGGTAAACACAACCCATACAGCCATCATGATGACTTTACTGTAATGGATACAGTTTTTTTCTGTATTTCAAGGCCGTTCAAAGAGCTATCTACAACAGGTAAGATGTTAGTTGTTTATTACCTTTCCACCCTTCTTCTCCCCACAGTGTTCTATCAGATGGATGGCGCGGAAATGAACAAAAACCATATCAGCCCCAGAGGCAGAATTTATTCTTTGCTTATTTCAATATTTCATTGAGCGTTATACATCAATGAACTGTTTCAGGGGTGTCATCGCACAAAAAGCTAAGCCCTCTGAATTCAAGGCCAGCAAATGCACGCTTTTATCCAGCAGCGTGCCGTGAATACATGAAAGCGGCTGTCTTCAAAACCAACTTTAACTTCTTGGTGCGCCACGTTCACACGACTGAGCCTTTCTACCAGCCGCTAAACCCTAATGTCTCCCTGTAAAGTCTTTTGTTCATACAGATGTTCAGGGTTGTCATCCGGAGGTGATAACTGTAGTTGGTCCATTTAATTTTTGTTAAATCTGAAATATCGCCAAAAGGGAAATTTATACGTGTCCAGCTTGTGCTTCTATAATGTACAGAAAAAAATAAGAAATTTGTGTTTAGTTTCATATTTCTTTGCTGTAACAATGCTTCTTGGCAATAAACCTTCAGCTGTTGGGAAGCCTGTTTATTTCCTCCTAAACGGTGCCATGATTGTTCACTCGTGGGTTGAGCAGATCAGTTGAGAACGTGGGTTGCCTTAAAAACTTGTCACATCTTCTCCGCCAATGTCAAACATAATATTCTGCCATTGTCTTGTTTGGTGTCATTTATTATATTGGCTGATTGATGTCTGAAGAAATAAGACATACAGGGGCCTCAGTAGCATGTGGAAGAACCATACGCAGCCACAACAGCCTGACTCCTCCTCCTCATGCTGCTCACGATCTATGGGATAGCGTCCCATTGTGTTAGCCACTCTGAAGCAACACGTCCAAGCTGATTTCACAGGTGTTCAGTGGGTTTGAGGTCAGGACTGCGTCATGCCATTTCATCTTGTCTGCACCCAAATTCTGGAGGAATCTGAACCCTGTCAGGGTGAACGGTGTCTTCTTGGAGGAGAGTCAGAGTGTGGGGATCTGAGATTGTTTCAGGTTGCTTGCAGGTGCTGACCATTAGATCCCTGATGGTCAGAACCTGCGGTACCAGCAGCTCATAACAAGTCAGAGTACAATAGTTGCTGTTTGATATTGGCTGAGAAGATTTGGTGAGTTTTCCGTGGGTGCAACCCTCATACTCATTTAGACTTAAGATAAAACGTTTTTAAATTGAGACAATTTCTTCCATCTAAAACTTGAACCTGGTTGAAGCAGGAGTCAGGTTGATAAAATAAAGAGCTATTCTTGCTGTTTATTGTGCTTCATACAAAAAAAAAATGACAATGTATAAAATAGCATTATTTTCTGCACACGGTCAGTTTTAATAAACACGTGCTATGGAGG